TTAGGTGTGCTCATGTTACACCATTGCATGAGCTGCATTGGTTTCCATTATAAAGCCCTGTATGCCCATCCTACTGGGTAGAGTGGGCTTCTCCTAAATGCCACCATTTACAGCTGAAGGATCTAGAACAATTTCCCACATATGCTTCTCCCTTGTGGCAGGCAGGCTCCCACCGTTTAGCCTTCTGGAAGGCCATCAAGACTTGGCTCTTTACCCAGGCATTATGGTCCAATGTTGCTTATGGATGGCTGTTGGGAAAACCACAGTATTGGGAGCCCTGGTGGCGCAGTGGTTAGAATGCAGTATTGCAGATTAACTCTGCCCTCTGCCTCTTGACTATCTCATGGTTGTCTCAGCCTTCCATCCTTCTGATGTCAGTAACATATTGTTGGGGACAATATGCTGGCATTTGTATACTGTTCAGAGTGCTGCAAAGCACTGGGGAGTGGCATATCAGTCTTAAGTGCTAGGAGATGCTCAAGGCAACAGGTTTTTTTAGTTTGCAATTTTATTATTGTGAGGAACCCAGATCTGTGCACTAAGAATGGGCAGCCATACAACCCTTTTAAATAAATAAGCCGATCTCCCCAAGTGGCTTTGTACTAGCTCAGATTTAAAACAACCCATTCTTTAGCACCCAAATAGGGAACTTATGTGACTCCGTTAACTGGAAACCTGAGGCTTAGATAAGGAATTTCTGCATGTAGTCTAGCATAAGCTTACTGTTTACAACTTGTACATAAAATTTGTGTGCAACAGATAGTTGGAATGAATATAAACTCATGTCAACCATTATCAAATAAAGTAACAAATTTTATCTTGCACAACTTGAAATCAGAAGTAAAAGTTCTACCATGAACATGTTTGACATGTTAAAAGGAAATCATTTGTCCTAAGATGGTCAGTCAACTACTCTGACAGCCAATGCATGTTCTTGCTGCTAGTTTGTTGCTTAAAATAACATCCTACTCTTTTTAAAGTTTTTTTTTTCTTGCTCTAATGCAAGCTCCTAGGTAGTGAATTAAAATTATGATGTGCTAAAGAGGGGGACTTAAGGCCAGTGTGCAAAGTTGTGATCTTCACAGCATCCTGAGAGTTATGTGATCAACTCCTGCATGGGTGGGATGCAACCGGTTCTGCCCGGCTCTGTAGAATCGCTAGCTCTGAAGAGCAGCAGACACCAAACCGATTCTGTGTTTGCTGCTGTTTGGCCTGCCCGCCCTCCCGGGCTCTTACCTGTCCTTTATTTCCTGCTTTTTCAACCTCCGCTGCTTTGCACAGCACAGCTGAGGTTGAAAAAGCAGTAAAAAAGTGGCTTTTCAAACGCTGCGCACCTGTGCGCAGCGCTTTTCAGCTGTCCGGGCGGCACAGCTTATAGTTTATTACACGCGCGCGCAGCAAGACGTAATCACTGAACTGGTAGTAACACCGGTTCAATCCCAACCCTGAACTCTTGGAGGCTCAGCTCCTATGTTGTAGGAAGCTGCAATCACATGATCATAATTTGGGACTTTCCCTGCTGGCTTCCACAAGCAAAGTAGAAGGAAAGGAAAATCCGCAGGGATGGGGAAGCTCTATTATCCCTACCCACAGCATCTCCCTACACTCCTTACCTGTGATTCCCAGCTTTTACCACCTAACAAACTGCACGGTTCTGGGTTACAGTGGCTGCCAGGATTGCCAATTGCTAAGCAATGCAGTCATGTAAGATTAAACTTTGGCTGCTTTAGTGATGGAAATTCCAGGTTTATTTGTGTTGTAACCCGAGGACTACCCATTTCACAAAAGAAACACAACTTTCAAATTAAGTGGGGCCTCTTTCCTTTTTTGAAGCTAGAAGTTGACCAAAGGCCTTCTATGTCCTGAAAAAGGGAAAAACACAATGCTTATGGGGATTGCTGTTTGATGCTCAAGAATTATTTCTGCCAACGTTTTCAGGTAAGATTGAAAACCACTCTGGGATGTATTTTGAAGGTGGGGAGGTTATGAAATCATGATTAAAGAAGAATGAACATCTTTACCTTCCAGGAAAGCTTGTATGTGAGATTAATCCTTATTTCAAATCAGAACTCCTTTTGAGATGCCTAATCAACAATTGGCAGCCAATCTACATGTTTCTACCACTGGTACATTGCTTGTGCAACTTAGATATTTAACCGTTGTATCGTTAAGCTTAAGAACTGTAGATGACAATCAATTAGATCTGAATATTTAATAAGGGTCTTTTAAAAAATATTGTAGCCACTAGTCTGCTTTATCACAGTGCAGAGGGCCCTTCCCATTTTTAGATTAATTTTCTATATACAAAAAAGCATTATGTACAAACTATACATTCTTTTTATCTAATCCTTTTTACATAAAAGATAGAAAACATTTTGCAAAAGGGCGTGCTATGATTTAGATGTAACTGCAAATCTTTTATGTATATAAATACATTTCTACTGCCAAAGTATGCATTAAGTAAATAAAATTGGATTGATTTAGCATTAGTTATAGAATCCAGCTTCATCATGACTCATGTTGGGTGCAAGGTAAAGAACCGGTACTAATTAAAAGAATGGGTTTTCAACAAAAGACTGCACTTGATGCTTGCTGAAGATTAAACATAAGGCAAAATCTTAATGCTCCACTAATGTTTGGAGGATTCCTTTTGTACGGTGAAATGGAAAGAATGTAGAGAAATAGAAAAACAAGATTGATATAGGATAGTGAACAATAGCCAGAGTTACATCCTGATGATCACTACTCTTATGAATGCATCAACCACAGTCTAACGTTATGGTAATTATTTTGTCAATAGTCTAGTTTTTATTCTAAACTGCATTCTTTGAGGCCCAAATAGTCCTTCAGTTTAAGACTAATCAGAAACCCTTCCTGGAATTTCTGCAGCTGGTTATTAGTATCGCACCATAAATGTTTGACTCTACTTCTCTTACAATGGTACTGGGCATTCAACTTCAGAGAAGCACCTTTTCATTCCTTAAATGCAATGCTACATATAACGCAGCAACTACATCAGATGACTCGAATCTCATTGCACTTCAAGTTGAGTAGTGGATTGGTTCCAACACCACAAAAAATGGGAGATGGAAATGAAAGGTGATACTGGTTCTGCAATAATGAGATGCTCATTGGAGAGTTAGCTCCAATATATTATTTTATGGTGTCCAAGATAATCTCCGTGCCAAGATTTTACCATCAGAAAATGGCCGTACTATAAACGGTTTCGACTGCAATTCAGATGAAAATTAGCCAATGTGTATTCTATAGTTCAATTTTAAAATGTATCTCCCATCCTCCTAGAAAACTTACTTACAAATATTAGTGTTTTCAAAGGTAGGCATCTTTTTCTGCTGTCTTATTAAACAAAAACCGTCAGCTGTTATGAATATGCAACCAAGTATGGATGTTTTGCTTTCAATATAGCAAACTTCCAAGTTAAATTTGCTAGCTTAATTGGAAGCAATGAGGAGTAGGTGGATAGACACACACACATAAAAGTCTATCTGGTAGCAGATAGAATGGCAATGTTTTTCTCTGTTCTTCCCTCCATTTTTTAAACTTATCTACATCTGTTGTGTTGCTTGCTTGATAAGTGGTTTATTGTAATATTTTCAAACTTAACTGGACTCCTCAAGGATGCAATGCTAGAACATAGAGTGGCCACGTGTCTTCAATAAGAAGGGAGCAGATGCTGCTTCTATGACCATGGAACAGTACAGGCTTGTGGTTGGAATGTCAACGTGTTGGCAATGCAGAACTGTCCCCAAATGGTGCCAGCACTGAGACAGCCTGCCAAGTAGCACCAGAACTGGACTAGGACATGCTTTGTACACAATGAACTGAACACTTCAGCATATTATGTGCAAATGTCAAACCTATCTTGTGATGTGGCAAAAAAACAATTTCTTTAATTTGAAGTATAATTCTTATATAGGCAGACTACTAACTCTCAAATGGCAGCATGATTGGCTGGACTTCTACTCAATTAGACCTTTATTTGGCCAAACCAAGATTAAAAACTGCCACTAAGAAGATACAATCCATTGCAAGCATTTTGGACAACTAAAGTTCCATTTTGAGAAAAAGAGATGTACAAAATCAGAGCAGTGCTTAGGCAAGCCATATTCAACTCTTATAAATCTCGTACAAGCATGGTATACCTCCGATAACACACTATTATAAATTTCCATCATCTAGAGTGTATGTATTTCCTTGTAATACAGCATGTGCAAAAGTGGCCTGCTTAAGTGATATATTGCACATAAAATCTAAAACTCTGTTTCAGAGAATTAAAATAGCTCTAACTATACAGAAAATACTAAATTGTAAAAAGTCATATTACCTCCAAATTTATGCACGTAACACTGACAAAGTTCTAAAATTGGGACAATATACATATAAATTACAGTTAAATACCATAAAATTTAACCAATCAGCAAATTGCTATGTTTGCTTCTACCACCAGAAATATCCAAGAAAACTAAAAGATCTGCAGTGTTAGACAAAGCAAAGAATCAAAGCATTTCTGCTAACAGAGGTAGTGCCAGCCACATCCAACCAGAAATTCATCTCCGATCTAGAATATTGTAATAAAATGTAAAAAGACTATAAAATTTACAAAAATAAATAATTTTAAACGTTTTACAAAATGCAAGAGATTTTGCTGCCAAGTATCTAGAATCTTCAATAAAGGGGAAGAGATCTGTAGTTCCTTAAATACTTTAAATATATACTGTACTGAGGCTGCAAATCCATGTATACAACTTCAGTGAATGCCAATAAAGAATGTAATTTAATATTAAAAATAAATCTTTAGACTTCAGATGATGTTTCCCCTTATGAAAATCACTGTTCTGCAAATCCTTCACACAGATTAAAAATTGCACATTAAAAAGTTAGAAACACACGAGAAATACTCCTCATGTATAGCCTAAAAGAGTTAAAAAGATTGCACAATTGATTTAATAAATACTTCATTTTATATGACAGGCTGCCACTTTTTTTTTGGTTTATAAGAATTTTAGGGAGGTTTTCAGAACCATTAAAGAAAAATGTCTGTAGCTGCCTTTCTGGCATAACGTTTTGAAGTTCACTCTCCTCTGAGACTTATCTTCAAACCAGCATTGTATGGCAGCTTAGGAAAACGCATCTTTGGGCTAGCAAAGGTGTCAGGACCCTACAAGAATTTCCATAATATGGTCTAAATCAGTGATATCACTTCTGCATATTGGGATGTTGTTTGCCGAGGAAGAATTACAAGAAGGGAATGCCTTCAACGTTTCTTCTGTTGTTGCCACAGACAGGGTTCTTGGAGGAGTTGGTGAGGGGCAATCAAAGTCTGAATCATACATTGAAGTGTCAATATCTTCAAATATGTCATCAATAGCCAAGTCCTTCAAGTAACTAGTTGAATTTGAAATTTCAAAGGAACCAAATGCACATTCAACTCCTTTCAAGTCTTGTCTATCTTCTTCTAACTTAAGAACTGACATTTCAGAGGTCTTCAATTGATCATCTCCAGATCCAGCCAAGTAAGAAGGCGGACTCACATCTTCCATGAAGTCCAAATCTTTTAGAATAGAGGAAATGGCTGATGACATGTCGTTATCTGAAACCATCAACAAGCTATTTTCAATTGGGCTTTCCATAGACCGTGGTTCATAACCATATGATTCCTGTTGAATAATACCAGGCAAAAAATGTGAAGGCATTCCAAAGAAATCAAAACCTAAATAATTGGAAGGGGCAGTACTTAAACCACCCCACATGTTAACAGACTGTTGGCTAGTTTCTTGCCTCATCTCTTCTTGGATTTGTCTGACAGTATTGGCTATAAGGACAGAACGATGTAAATTTGGTTCCACCAGCATCTTATATGTCTGTAACTTGGCAAGGCAAACATTGAGCACCAACTGACGCTTGAGTGGGTATGGCAGGTTTCGACTGGAATCAAAGGCACTTGACACACCAGCCATGTTCTCTTCATAATCACTCAACTTGCGTTTCAAACCTTTTCCCAACATGAACCTGAAAGAAAAAAATGAACCAATGAGCATTTCTGACTTTATAGTATTTATTTTTATCTGTACATTTTCTATTCCTTTATTATGACCTTAGATGTGGGTTCATATACTTTTTCAGAAGTTTATGAACCCCCTTGTTACATAATTTGGGATAGATATAAAACATTAATATCTTCTTCATTTAGACTGATTAATCTTGGACAAGGGAAGGCATCTGACTTGGTCTAGCCAGTAATTTGGGAAAGATGGAAAAGGATTTAAGGAATTTTAGATTATTAATACCAGAAAAAACATTATGAAGACTTCAATTAAAAAAAAAACAGGAATTTCGGCCAGGATCTAGTATTTAGCACGATGTAGGCGAGAGCAACTGAAATCCTACAAACCTATGTCCCTGAAAAGTTAGTCTCTTTGTTCTTCCTCTGACAAGTAGAGAAAAAAGCCTGCATACTGTGCTAATAAAAATGCATATGATTAATTTTCATAAAGCACCTAGGATGCAAGATCATAATAAATAACCTCTTTTACAAGTTCTGATTTCAAAGCTAATATAAAAACATTTGAAAATTCTTTCTTCTCCTCTACTTTACCAAAAAGATAAAGTATCAACAATCAATTCCTCTTATACGGATTAAAAATAATTAGGGTGCTGGAGAGAAGTTGGACTCGTCAATGAATACTTTTAATATTGATCATGCTCATTGTCTTGGCCCCTTCTCTGCCCAACTTAGAAGGCAGACTTTGAGTCTTGATGCACACCAAAAAAATGGTTTGAGCTAAATTATTACTTGTTCTAGCTTTTTTTATATATTTTATTTTAAAACTGCAGCTTGGTTAAAGGCTTTAATAGATATTGAAGTTGAAGCAACAAATACAGTTAAACAGAAATATGTTTCAAAACAGTAACATTTTCCTCATGATTATAACTACATAGTATTCAGAAAAGGACTTTAAGCAACTCCTGGCATAAAAACATCTCTGTTGAAGTAAAAAAGAAGAAACAAGACAGAAGCTACATATAAAATACAGCTTCTGGAACTCTTACTAGCCCTTTAATAGGAGCTCCATTCTGGATCATGTGCCTGAGAAGAAAGGAGGCCTTAGAATGGAGGAGTGGGCAACATTCCAGTCCACAATCAAACTGTTTTTCCAACATGGATGGATATACGTAATGGATAATTTTTTTCCCCTTGATTTTTTTTTTTAACCTAGCCCATTTCTGTACCTGATCTTTCTGTTGTTGTTGGCTTCTTCCCCTACACCAACTTGAATTACCTTGCTGGCAGTCTTGAGCCCATTCAAATAATTGATTTTCAATATTCCGTAGGGCTGGACTGAAGCAAATGGGAATGGATTGGAGTAGCAATCCTGCCAAAACTTCTCAGTGAAGGACAGGAAAGAAATTCTAATAGCCTTTCTCTGAGCCAGATTATAATTACAGTTACCATCATCAGAAGCCAGAAGGCCTCTTACAACCGCTCCCAACCCCACCCCACCCCATCTTTAGCATACAATTTCTTTCCAGTTTAACGTTTTATTGAGTTATAAGAATGAGCCATTTTGGTAAAAAGTTCCACTACAACTAGTATAGATATATAGCCATGAACACCTCTGGTCGATAGCTATATATCTATACTAGTTGTAGTGGAATTTTTACCAAAATGGCTCATTTCATGCCTTCCAAATGTTTGCTCACTATCAAAGAAACATCTCAATTCTTTTTCGATCACATGGTTTCCATACTGGTATTAGACTGGGACAGTCAATTGACTTCCAGGTTCTGGAAGGCATTGTTACAACTTTTGAATCTCCAGGTTAGCTTCTCCTCAATCACCCCGTCATGAATGATAAGGCTGAGCAAACTAACCAGATGCTCCAGCAATACTTAAGAGGTTATTCTACCTGCATTCAAGGTAACTGGCCTTCATTGCTTCTCCTAGCAGAATTTTCCTACAATAATGCTCCGTACACATTGATTACTATTGATCCCCTTTCAAACTCAGCATGGTAGACACCCAAGGGTTTTATCAGTGGTTTCAAGGGAGGAGGAACCATCCCAGGGGCAGTGAATTATTTTGCAGGAACAGCTGGCTACCTAAACCCCATTGAAACAGCAGCTGGAACAGACAAACAGTCTGACAAGAAGACTGCAGATTCCCATTGATATAAAGGACTACCAACTGCTGAAGGAGAGAAAGTGTGGCTCTATCAAATTCTTTGTTTCTCCTAGACCTTCTAAGAAGCTGGATATCAAGTTCAGAGGGCATTTACAGTCCTCCAGCAGATCAATCCTGTGGCCTTTCATTTGCAATTGCAATTACCATGAAAGTCCATCCAGTTTTCCACCATTTGCTGCTCATCAAGCAAAAACCTCCTAGAATCTTATGCTCATCGTGCCCAAAGCCATTGCCAGTAATTATGGAAGGGGAGGAGGAATACGTAATAGATGAAATTCTGGACTCTAGGCAAAGTGGCAAAAGCACACAGTATTTGATTCAGTGGAAGGGGTACCCAGAATCCAAATGTGGATGAGAATATGCCAGGTATGTCCATGTCCCTGACTTGGTGCAGCAATTCCACCAATACTTCTCTGAAAAGCCACAAACTTCCAAACTCCCAGCTCTCTGCCCTGCATCGCACAAAGAATCTGTAAGCGAAGAGATAACTAGACTGAGTGCATACCCCCAGTGGGACACCAGACAGTCCAACCATCCAGTTCTGGCCTTCACTTCCGGAGGGAAAGGAGGAGAAATCTGCTAGTCATCTAGACGTTTTACAGCTAGCATCACCTGCTTCAAAGTATTCTTTAGATGAGGGGGAGGAGATCTTCTTTGAAATGGCTTTGCTTCCTCCCCTCCCAACTTCCTGTGAGAACTCAGATGAGGAAGAGGCCACTGAAGAAGGGGAGGGCTGTTCTGAAGATCCTATGAAAGAAAGGGAGGGCTGTTTTGAGGAAGGGGTGATGTAGGAGATTAGGAGAGCCAAGGGAAGGAGTCAAACAATGAATCCGTTTAGTCTTAGCTTTAACCAGGGGGAAAACCATCAGTTGAGAAGATTCCTATGCAAGGAATAAATCAGTAAATTTGAACTCTTCACCTTTGGACCTGGTTCTTTGTGCATCACAATTAGCTGCCATTTCAGATTATTTCTGAATATCACCACTCCCAATTTTTTTCAAATAAACTTTCAGTTTTGGGGGCAGTTTTCAAAACTGTCCAATTACTCACTCTGTTGCTGTTTACACCAAAAAAAGGTAAGTGCTATTTTTTTCATATTTATTATCTAAGGAACCAACTGACAGGAAAAATGGTATGGACTAAGAAACGTAAGCACGGATTGATCAATCAAGCTTCTAATAGATTGTGAAGTAAAATAACATACAGGTTTCAAGGCCTAAAGATAGCAGTCCAGTGATGAAGGTAGAATACCACCTCTCTCAGTAGGAGTCTAGATAAAGGAAACAACGAAGATGAGAGCCAGTGTGGTGCAATTGCTAAAAGCATTGCGTATTTCTAGTCTTGCTTTAAACAGGGAAGCAACTGGGTGATTTGGGATCAATTATTTGCTCTCAACCCTAGGAAGAAGAAAAGAAGGAAAAATATTTCCAAAAATGAAGAACTGCATAGACTTGCCCATGTAGTTGCTAGGAGTTAGGACTAAGGCACAATTAAATCAATAAATTCCACAAGGTTAGGTTTCAGGAAGACATATATTTGTTGGGTTCACATTTACATAATTCACACATTAAATTAATTAATTAATTTAATTTAACCATTAAATTTCTGTAAATTTGGCATCCCCAGGCCCATTTTAATGTGGTCTGCAAAAACCAATTAGGCAGCAAGACTAATGTTTAATTTACCATATACCAAAACTCTGACATGATCACTACTTAAAGATACAGTAGTTTAAGTTGTTTAAAGGGATATACTCTTACAGGTAACTGCACCTTCCTAATCAGAGCTCAGAAACTTAAGATGGGAGACCACTAAGAAATGTTAAGTCTGAAAAATGTACTAGGGCACAGTATGGCGAGTGTACTTGGAAAGAATTTAAACCTTTGACTTTTACCCATATCTTTCCTATGTTGTACTGGCTCTCTCTGAGAGGCGACATGTAGTTCGATTTCTGTCCAGTCTTAACCTTTTTAAGGAAAAGTTGTTGAGGAGGGATCCAGAGGACTCTGGAAAAAGTGGATCATCTGGATCCCTTTCAGTCAGGTTTTAGATCAGGGCATAGTACAGAGATAGCATTGATCATGCCTGCTGGTGATTTCTGGGAATGGCAGGTAGGATATGTGTGTGTGTGTGTGTGTGTGTGTGTGTACGTGCATGCACACACACACATTACTTCTAGCTCTCTGTGATTCTTCTGTTGCATTAATTATGGTATCCTACTTAACTAAATGTGGAGATTTAGAGAGGGAGGGAGAAAGGGGCTTTCTCCTTTCTCTGGGGATGATTCCAGTTGGTTCTGACAGGGGAGGCGAGGCCAAACACAGAAGCCTTTCACGTTGGGGTGCCTTAGAGCCTGATGCTCTTGCCCCTTCTATTTATAACCTGTAGGAAACCACTGAATGAGGTACAATTTGAGCAAATGGTTACCACCTATAAAGCCCTTCATGGCACATGGTATGATGACTATCTGAAGTACTGTCCATCCTGCCTTTCAGATCCCTTCACTCAAACAATGTCATCTATTGGGACCTAGGAAGTGTGCTTTCTCTGTTATAGCACCTCCCCTCTGGATCTGCATCCCCACCCAGGGTCTCCACCTTGATGACATTGAAAACCTGACTATTCCCCCATGCTTGGGAGTACAGTAATGTTGAGCTCTTGTTTAAAGTTGTTGAATTAAATAGCTATCTTTTTCCCAGACATGCATTAAATTCGTTTTCAGTATTTTAAAGTATCCCTTTCTTATATTGCCATAAGATGTCCAGAGCTGGGTGGCCTCTAATTTGAATGAATGGATAAGTCATCTGAAATTTTTAAAAGAATCTCA